CCGAAATCCAGCTGGAAATCTTAGCCTCCCGAAATTCAGCCGGAAATCTTAGCCGCCGAAATCCAGCCGGAAATCTTAGCCGCCCGAAATCCAGCCGGAAATCTTAGCCGCCGAAATCCAGCCGGAAATCTTAGCCGCCGAAATCCAGCCGGAAATCTTAGCCGCCGAAATTCAGCCGGAAATGTTAGCCTCCCGAAATCCAGCCGGAAATGTTAGCCTCCCGAAATCCAGCCGGAAATCTTAGCCGTCGAAATCCAGCCGGAAATCTTAGCCTCCCGAAGTCCAGCTGGAAATGTTAGCTTCCCGAAATCCAGCCCGAAATCTTAGCCACCCGAAATCCAGCCGGAAATCTTAGCCGTCCGAAATTCAGCCGGAAATGTTAGCCTCCCGAAATCCAGCCCGAAATCTTAGCCGCCGAAATCCAGCTCGAGATGTTAGCCGCCCGAAATCCAGCCCGAAATCTTAGCCACCCGAAATCCAGCCCGGAAATCTTAGCCTCCCGAAATCCAGCTCAAAATATTTACCGAAGTATTAGCTGTGTTGTGAACTTTCTTCTCAACGTAGCAACAAAATTTTTTACTTTAAACAAATGAAAGATGATTACAAGTGGACTTATGAAAGATGATTACAAGCCCAGTCTATTCCCATTCCTATTCCCATTAGAAAATCGTTTTTAGAAAGATTTCTGATGACAAAAATGGTCTTACATAAAAATAAGTTCAAATTTGGCTATTCAGAGTCAACAATTTGTTATTTTATTTAAAATCTTTGCACTTTAAAATCTTCAAAACCGCGTTTGTGCAAAAGGAGCAGCACCGGAGCTGTTTCTTTCAACGCCTAGAACTTACAAAAGGCCTAGAATCAAAATCTTTTGCAATTAACAATTATTACAAAGTTTACAAAGTATTTTTATTTAGTTCTCGATCGAAAGATCGAAAAAAGATCGAATCAAAAAGGTTTTTCCGGGTTATTTCTGATCATTCTGTCTGAGAATGATGCTCTAAGTCAGATCCAGTCAAAAATATTGACTTATTTAGCTTTGGATCTAGGCTATCTTGATTTCAAATCCTGTTACACACAAAAGAATCGTAATTTAATAGAATTAGGAGCTGAAATCGAATGCTGGAGTGGGTCAAACCCAAAGAAGAGAACCCGAGCAACCATTCAAATACTGGTTGATAAAGGGGAAAAAGAAAAGGTTCTTTCGCCAAAGCTCTCAATGATATTCAATGATATTCATCCATTTTTCTTCATTTTCTCTCTTTTCTTTTCTTTTTCCATTTCCCCATTCATTCGTTCATTCGTTCATTTCGTCTCTTTCACATTTTCTGTTCAATACCCCTTCATTTACGGCTTTCATCCCATCTCAACCTTATATTTATTTGCTTATCCAAATTTAGCGCTTCGATTTCTTTTCGATTTGGAAAGAGTTTTGATTTAGAACGGAAGCTTTCATTTAAGACGAAAGCTTTCATTTAGAACTTTATTTTAAAGAAAATTATTTGCATAAGCTTCTGAAGCAAATTCTCAGCTTCTGAAGCCTCTAATTGGCGCGAGAACTATGGATAATCAGCTTAATAGACTGCACACTTTGAATTTTAAGCTTAAAGTTTAGTTTGAGCTCACGTTTACAGGCTCTAGCTGACGTTTACAGGCTCTAGCTGACGTTTACAGGCTCGAGCTCACGTTTACAGGCTCGAGCTCACGTTTACAGGCTCTAGCTGGTTTACAGGCTCGGCTCCGTTTAGGCTCGGCTCACGTTTACAGGCTCGGGTTCAGGCTCGGCTCACGTTTACAGGCTCGAGCTCACGTTTACAGGCTCGAGCTCACGTTTACAGGCTCGAGCTCACGTTTACAGGCTCGAGCTCACGTTTACAGGCTCGAGCTCACGTTTACAGGCTCGAGCACAAAGTTCAACGCAATAAAAAGTTAACTAAGTATCAATTTTGAATACTTAAAGCTTTTAGAATCTTTTCAAAAAGCTATTTTTTATTTATTTCAATATAAAAATGGCAATTCTCATCCCAAAAATGACTCACAATCTGTTGAAATGAAACAAAAAGCGCTGAAATGAAAATTTTTCACGCGGAAATGACTCATTTTTTCGTGTCCTCTTGTGTTTTGGAGAAAAAGTTTATGAAATTCGGGTTTATTTCTTGTTTACAGTCGATTTTTATGTTGTACAGTCTAAGCGCTGTAAAACTTTGAATAGTTTTTTGTTTTTTCTGAATTTTATGCTAGAATTTTATGCTTTCATTCTCCTAAATTCGGCTAAACAAACCAGGTTTTTTTTTAAAGTGAATTGAAGCTAAAGTAACCTAACAAATCAGTTTTCACTTGTCTAAGGTCAAGTTGAAGAGTTTTCTTAAGCATTTACAGCTTTACAAATATCAATTACAGGCTATCAATTGCAAAAAAGTTTAAACCAATCGATCTCCAGAAACGACCTCTAGAAATGTTTAATATTTATCCTAAGCTCAAGCTCTTAGCTCAAGAGCAATACCAAATTTTTGATATTGATCTTAGCTGACTTTTAAACTGAAATGTTTCTACTTTTACCTATTAATGTTTATACTATTAATGCTTATACTATTAATGTTTATAGTATTAATGCTTATACTCTTAATCCTTATACTCTTAATGCTTATACTCTTAATCCTTATACTCTTAATGCTTATACTCTTAATGCTTATACTATTAATGCTTATACTCTTAATCCTTATACTCTTAATGCTTATACTCTTAATCCTTATACTCTTAATGCTTATACTCTTAATGCTTATACTATTAATGCTTATACTCTTAATCCTTATACTCTTAATGCTATACCTTAATCCTTATACTCTTAATGCTTATACTCTTAATGTATACTATTAATGCTTATACTCTTAATCCTTATACTCTTAATCCTTATACTCTTAATCCTTATACTCTTAATCCTTATACTCTTAATGTATACTCTTAATCCTTATACTCTTAATGCTATACTCTTAATGCTATACTCTTAATCCTTATACTCTTAATGCTTATACTCTTAATCCTTATACTCTTAATGCTTATACTCTTAATGCTTATACTATTAATGCTTATACTCTTAATCCTTATACTCTTAATGCTTATACTCTTAATCCTTATACTCTTAATGCTTATACTCTTAATGCTTATACTATTAATGCTTATACTCTTAATCCTTATACTCTTAATCCTTATACTCTTAATCCTTATACTCTTAATCCTTATACTCTTAATGCTTATACTCTTAATCCTTATACTCTTAATGCTTATACTCTTAATGCTTACACTCTTAATCCTTATACTCTTAATGCTTATACTCTTAATGCTTACACTCTTAATCCTTATACTCTTAATGCTTATACTCTTAATCCTTATACTCTTAATGCTTATACTATTAATGCTTATACTCTTAATCCTTATACTCTTAATCCTTATACTCTTAATGCTTATACTCTTAATGCTTATACTCTTAATGCTTATACTCTTAATCCTTATACTCTTAATCCTTATACTATTAGCAACCCGTTTCTCAAGCTATTCTTCTAATTATAAGTGTGAAATCCCCGGGAAAAGCTGAACAAGATAGGCTAGCTAGTTTCGTTTTGAAATCGTTTTGCAAAATTTGAATTCACTGACCTTTCTTAGTGAGTATTCAAAAATTTAAGAGAGAAATTTTCAGAAAGAGTTTGGTTGAAAGAAAAAGAAAACAAGGTCATTTTCCCAATGACAAACGAAGAAACGAAGAAAAAGAAATGGAGGATCCACAAAATGAGTCAACTTAAACGAAAGAAAGACAAAGGTGGGAGGGAAAATCCTCGTAAAAGGAAAGGGGGTTTGAAAATGAGCATTCCCTCCATTTCTTTCTTCTTTTGAACGTTTAACTTTGAATTTTTACCTTTTTTAAGACCCTTTACCTTTTTTGAACCTTTGCAATTGTTAAAATCGTTTTCTAGGGCAAGCTTTTTGCCTGTAAACGCATTCTTTCTGGTGCACATTCTCTTCATTCATTTTCCATCTCTTTTCCATCTATTCAGTGCACCAGGAAGGGTGTATTTAAAAGAGAGCTCAAAGTACACCGAAAAAATCAAATACTTTGTACTCTCAAGTAATCATTTCTGCCTCTTGGCACACTTATAGTCAACTCAAAGTGCTACGGTTGGACTGTGTGTTCAAAAAGTGTAAACACACCCTTTCTGGCGTGCTGAATCACTCATTTCCCCGCTAAATCATTCGTCCTTTTTTAAAAACGAAGAGCAAAGTGATAAGAGGCGCTTAAGCAAGTACAGTCAATTCTTTTTGTTTCTAAGAAGGAAAGGAGCCGGCTAAATGCTATGAAACCGATTCCATTCGACGCAGAATTTGATGCTGATTCCGAATATAGATTCCGTTTCTGCTAAATGACAATCTGTCAGGAGTTATAAGTGTCTAAAGTTTTGTTAGGACCCTGAAGAAGTGGCCATTTGGTGAGGTCTTAGCGGCCTCCTTGTGGACCATTGGCCCCCTTGTAAGCCATTGGCCTCCTTGTAGACCATTGGCCTCCTTGCGGACCATTGGCCTTCTTGCGGGCCATTGGCCTCCTTGTAAGCCATTGACCTTCTTGTAGACCATTGGCCTCCTTGTAGACCATTGGCCTCCTTGCGGACCATTGGCCTCCTTGCAGGCCATTGGCCTCTTTGTAAGCCATTGGCCTCCTTGCAAGCCATTGGCCTCCTTGTAGACCATTGGCCTCCTTGCGGACCATTGGCCTCCTTGTAGACCATTGGTCTCCTTGTAGACCATTGGCCTCCTTGCGGGCCATTGGCCTCCTTGTAGACCATTGGGCTCCTTGCGGATCATTGTAGGCGTGGTAGTGGTAGAGCAAATGGTAGAGCGCTCGTTTCCAGAGCAAAACCTCACAAGTTCGCTCCTCACTCTAGCTTTTTCTTTTGCTTTTTTTTAAAAAAGTTTTTAACTAGTGCTAGCTTTAAAATTTTTCTATTTAGATAATGTCGGAAAAAGTCGGCGGTCCTCCGGTCGATGTTTCGTCGCATGGGCAAGTTTTTGTGATCGACAACCGAACGAGAGATGAGTGGTGTAAAATTGTGGTCCTCATTGTGCTCATCGCCATTTTCCCGGTAAGTCATCGGAAATGGTTGACAAATTGACAGTTTTACAAAAGTAGAATTTACTGATTGAGATTGAGATTGAGGTTTACTGATTTACTGAATTTACTGATTACAAACGGAACTTTATGCGCGCAATCTTTTTCTTTAAAGCAAAGCAACAGCGCAAAAAAAGAAGTGAAAACGCTTAGCACTCAATTCTGTCAGCTTCCTAAAGCCTCCTAAAGCTTCCTAAAGCCTCCTAGAGCTTCCTAAAGCTTCCTAAAGCCTCCTAAAGCTTCCTAAAGCCTCCTAAAGCTTCCTAAAGCCTCCTAAAGCCTCCTAAAGCCTCCCAAAGCTTCCTAAAGCCTCCTAAAGCTTCCTAAAGCCTCCTAAAGCCTTCTAAAGCCTCCCAAAGCTTCCTAAAGCCTCCTAAAGCTTCCTAAAGCCTCCTAAAGCCTTCTAAAGCCTCCCAAAGCCTTCTAAAGCCTCCCAAAGCTTCCTAAAGCCTCCTAAAGCTTCCTAAAGCCTCCTAGTGCTTCCTAAAGCTTCCTAAAGCCTTCTAAAGCTTCCTAAAGCCTCCTAAAGCTTCCTAAAGCCTCCTAGTGCTTCCTAAAGCTTCCTAAAGCCTCCTAAAGCTTCCTAAAGCCTCCTAAAGCTTTCTAAAGCCTCCTAAAGCCTCCTAAAGCTTCCAAGACTGAGAAATACGTATCAGTACCATGTACAGTACGCATCAATATTCTGTACAATGAACACAAAAAATTTCAGCCAGCCGCTGTCGCCGTTCAAGCGAATCAATGCAATGTGCATGTGATCATCTCTCTATTTTTGATGCTTTTCTTCATCTTCCCTGCCACTCTGCACGCAATTTGGTGAGTGAAGAATCACGAAAAACACCTTTCAAAAGCACCTTGCCAAAGTGACACAAAAACAGTGACCTTACTAGGAAAGATCGCCAACTTAAGGTCGAATTTGAAAAGAAACGAATCCTATCTTGTTCAGTTTTTCATCAGAATTCCAAATCCGCTTTTAGTTTTTCTTGAATAGCTTGCAAGGAATTCCCTGAAAACGTTTTGGGTATATAAGGCTGCCACCAGACAGGCTAACTCCGCGAAAAGGAAGGGGCGGGAAAAAAACAGACCACCCCCGCAGAAAAAAAAAAAAAAAAATCGGCTTTCCCCGCCCCCCCGTTAACCCCCCCCTTTTCGGTCCATTTCTTTGACAATCTACGAATTTTGTTCGTAACTTGACTGGGTTTCTTTGAAAAACGTTGAATTTCCTTTCATTCGATAGAAAATTTGTTCTCGAGTCGAATAAAAGCAAATTCAACGTTTTTCAAACAAATCCGGGGAAGATACGAGCAAAATTCATATTGGGTTGTCCAGTTATGAATGCGCGTTTTTACTATTTTGTAAATTTCTCAAGATATCGAACAGATCTATATGAGTGTTATATATTATTCGAAAGCTGAAGATATCCTCTACATTTTGGAATAAAAAACTTCTTGAATTCATTCAACTTTTTGGAAAATTGACTGCACAAAGGGAGAGGTCGTTTTCGAAAAAAAAACCCATTCCAGCTTAGCTATTCCTCAAATTTTATGGTGTAAAATAAGCGCCCAGAAAAGAAAAGAAAAGTAAAGATGCTCTGAAACTGTTATATTAAAAAAAAAGTTGTATTGATATATCTATTGGTCAAACATCAAAAACTCAATTTGAGCGGAGCCAAAACTTGATCCAAAGGCACCCTTCCATTTTTTGGCCACCTCTTCTTTTGTGCAGTCAATTGGCCCAAAAGCTGAACAAAATTCAAAAACTTTTTATATCAAAATGTAGAGGAGATCTTCAGCTTTCGAATAATACTCATAAATATCTTTTTCTTGATTTCGGTATTCTTGAGAAATTTGCAAAATAGTAAAAAAAACGCGCATTCATAACTGGACAACCCAATAGAAGCTTTCCTATAGAAGCTTTCTTATAGAAACTTTCCTATAGAAGCTTTCCTATAGAAGCTTTCCTATAGAAGCTTTCCTGTAGAAGCTTTCTTGTAGAAACTTTCCTATAGAAGCTTTCCTATAGAAGCTTTCCTATAGAAGCTTTCCTATAGAAGCTTTCTTCTAGAAGCTGGATTTTTCTCATAACTGGACAACCCAATAGATTGCCAATGGCAAATGGACCTGGGTTTCTTTGAAAAACGTTGAATTTCCTTTCATTCGATAGAAAATTCGAAAATCAACAAAACTTGTCAAATCTGAAACCATTTTCAGGTACTGTTTCTTCCGACAACCCACCGAGCACATCATTGCCTAGATTTCCTTTTGCTTAACTTAAAGCCTTTCAAAAAAAACGAAATCAGAAAAAAAACGAGTTGCTTTCTCTTCAAAATACGTGTTTATGACCAATTCGCTGCTTTTTTTTCCATTTTCATATGTGATTTTCATGATACTCAACGTATAAAAAGACGTAATAAAAGATTAAGGAAAAGTTTTATTCAAAAAGTTTGGGGTGGGACAAATGCGACCTTGATTACAAACCTGGACATTTGCGCACCTTGTTTTGTTGGAAAAGGCCTTAGGCAAGGCCGTAGAGCTTCAAAAATGTTTCCATAGAAGGGAATCGTATGCGTAGATTCCGAATTTCGACAAATCAGACCTCGTTGACACGTCAAATTTGGGTTAAAAGGCAAAAACTGCGGAAAAGCGTTAAGTTGCGTAGTTTTTGCCTTTTAGCCCAAATTTGACGTGTCAGCGAGGTCTGATTTTTCGAAATTCGGAATCTACGCATACGATTCCCTTATATGGAAATATTTTCGAAGCTCTACGGTCTTGCCTAAGGCAAAAAAAAGGTGCGCAAATGTCCAGGCGCGCAAAAAAAAGGTCGCATTTGTCGCATAAAAGTTTTATTCAAAAAGCTTCATTGAAAAAAAAACATAAATTTACAAGTTACCCGTGGAAATGTTTTATTTCAGAGATCGAGCCGACCTGTTTCTTTTCTACCAGTTTCTGGGGGGGAGTATTGAGGAAGTTATTGACAGAAAATTTTACACGGAAAAACAATTGCGATTTTATACTGCAATGAGCTTCGATTTGAATACAAATTATACAGATTCAAAGATTTTGATCATTTTGGGGTCTTGCGAACTTTCCTGAACTCCGACTGACTTGGACAAGCGCTTTAAAACGTGCCACCGTAATCGTGACCCAATTAGTCGCTTTTACGGTAATCCAAGTAGATAGCTTAATCAGTGTACATCACTTAGAAATAGAAAGATCTAGATTAAAGCTGTGGCTTGAAGATGTAGGTTGGGCTACGGTAGCCGAGGTTTTAGGCTGGGCTACGGTAGCCGGGCTTGTAGGGCTACCAACCTGGTCTGGGACTAGCTTGGCTTTATTAGCCATTGAAACATTAGGATGTGGTCAAATGAGATAAGTCATAAACTATTCAATGCAGAATTTCACGCTGATTCCGCTAGTTTCCAAAAGTTTCCAAGTCTCACAGTAAGCACACAAAAAAAAGCCTTAAAAAAATCAAATCTCAATTTGTTTCAATGTTGTATAAAGGCTGACCAAGAAGCACAAAAATAATGAATCAATGAACTGATGCGTGAGAATTCCCATTCACTTCGACCATATCCACCTGAAAGAAGAGATTTTGATAGGGATTTGATAGAGATTTGATAGAGATTTTGCTCAGAGAGAAGCTTTGCTTGTACTTTGCTTGCCTAAGCCTAAGCCTAAGCCTAAGCCTAAGCCTAAGCCTTAGCACTAAGCCCAAGCCTAAGCCTAAGCTTGTACTTTGCTTGTACTTTGCTTATACTTTGCTTATACTTTGCTTGTACTTTGCTTGTACTTTGAGCTTAAATTTGTAAGCACAAACTTCCTAGTGCACTTAATTCTTTGCTTTCCCATCTCATTCTTTGCTTTCTCATCTCATTCTTTGCTTTCTCACGACAAGAAAACAAAGAATTCATTGGAATTCAAAGAATTCAGTGCACTGGAAAAGCTATGCCGCAGTTTTTAAGCACAAAATATTAAGAAGAATTTAATATTATCGATTTTGAGAGTAGTAATTGATAAAATGATTGATAAAATAATGTTAAAATAATGTTAAAATAATGTTAAAATAATGATAAAATGATAAAATGATTCACTTTAATCAATGGCAGAAGATTATTGTTGTTATTGTTTATCCTTGGTGAGCAAGGCCTTTCCGAATTCGATCCCTTTAAAACGAAACGTTTCGGAGAATGGGAATGAGTCTGAAATGGTCATAGAATTGATTTAAATATAAAATCTTTGAGTAATTCTTTAGTAATCTTTAGTTTTCTTTCTTTAGTCTTGATTCTTGAGTTTTTAATGAGCAAAACATTCACCTTTCTTCTACAAACGGAAAGCAACGAGTGCCGAAAGCTTTTATTCATAAAGCAATACGTGATTGGATTTGTGCAAGAAGAGACGTATGTCAGTGTGGTCAAAACGCTGTTCAATGTGTTGTTGAACACTTCGGCATCCTAAAAACTTTTGTATTAGGCTGAAAGGCTTTTTGTTTTTAGAATAATTCGTCTTTCTAATGATTTGCATTTAGAAAACAAACGTATTTTGTGGCTTTGCATGTCTGGCCTTTGCCTGGCCATGACTTTGCATGTCTGGCCTTTGTCTGGCCATGACTTTGCATGTCTGGCTTTGTCTGGCCATGACTTTCCAAGTCTGGCTTTGTCTGACCATGACTTTGCAAGTCTTCAAGATGATCAAGAACATTTTTTTGGAACTTTTGCAAGTATATCTGATCTGATCTATCTATATATTTGATCTGTGTCAGACGAATAGTCACTTAGTAAGTGACTACGCAACTTTCCATCTTACAGAAGTGAAACAACCGTAGTTCAATTGTTGAAACAGTTCAATTGATTCAGTTCGTTTTTCAATTGTGATCTTCACCGAATGAAAAGGAACGAAAAGACTTTCTGGACTTCGAAAAGACTTTCTGGACTTTGAAAAGACTTTCTGGGCTTCGAAAAGACTTTCTGGACTTCGAAAAGACTTTCTGGACTTCGAAAGGACTTTCTAGACTTCGAAAAGACTTTCTGGACTTCGAAAAGACTTTCTGGACTTCGAAAAGACTTTCTGGACTTCGAAAAGACTTTCTGAACTTCGAAAAGACTTTCTGGACTTCGAAAAGACTTTCTGGACTTCGAAAAGACTTTCTGAACTTCGAAAAGACTTTCTGGACTTCGAAAAGACTTTCTGGACTTCGAAAAGACGAAAAGACTAATATATTTCAATAAAGCAATTTTTATATACGCAATAAAGGTATTTTAATACTTTAAAATAATATTTTAGATAATATTTTAAGATAATATTTTAATACAAAGGCTATCCAAAGCTTTGCTAGCTGCATCCTTGACTAGAGTGTGTTCCTCACGAGTAAAAACGAACACTTTTCACAGTTAAAGTTGAGGTTGAGTTAAAACGAACACTTAGGAAAAATTAGCGTACTTTTAGCGAAAAATTTTTAGCGTTATTGCAAAAAACGCACGAGCGCCGGCTTATATACGAATCTTTTTAAAGATATTCAATCGTTTAACTGATTTGGTGGCAAATCCCTTCAAATATAAAGATATTCAATTTACTCGACGTGTATTCAGTAGTTGATTATTTAAATGATTACTATTACAATTACTCGTAGCTACTCGACCAAAAGCTTGATTAATCGAGTAGGAATTAATCGTCGATTAATCGACTACTCATGCAAACTTTATTCAAGTAATTACTTACTCGCGAGGAACACATTTCAACAGTTATTGACTCTGAAATCTGTTCACACACCTCATCCACTACTCGCAGCACAAAGAGCTATCAAAGATAGAAAGAGAGAGGCTTGGAAAAAGTAGAAAAATCCTTTGATTTTGCATTTTGATTGCAAAAAATTCACGTAGCTGGGCTACGGCTAAAAAATCACCAGCGACGTCTTATATACGAATCTTGTTAAAGATATTCAGCCTTTTAACTGATTTGGTCGGAAATCCCTTCAAATACAAAGATATTCAAATTTACTCAACGTGTAAAGAGGATTACTCGTAGTTGCTCGACCAAAAACGTCGATTAATCGAGTAAGAATTACTCATGCAACTTTGACTCGAGTCATTACTTACTCTTACTCGCAAGGAACACACTCTATCCTTTACTAGCTCTATCTTTTACTAGAACACGCTCTATCCTTTACACTCAGCTCTTAGGTTTCAGAGATTTGAGTTAGCAAAAAGAAATGTAATGTTTTTCATTCATGTAACGAGCTTGTATCAACTCTTGTATTAACAGATTTAGCTAAAAATGAACTCACAAAAAGATCACAGAATCGAACGATCAACCAAAAGAGGTAATTGGGTGTCCAACAAATAGCGAATAAAACAACAATTGTCATCAACATTCGAGTCACACGACGCTTCGATGAGAGGATTTTCTCCTGAATCAAGCAATCAATCAATCAATCAATCAATCAATCAATTTCTCCTGAATCTTTACATAGGTTTAGTTTCATTAATTCGTACCATTTTGTTATCTAATATCCTGGGCAGCCATGTAAACTTCGCCCCTTTTTTGATCCATTTGCCATTGGCAATCTACGAATTTTGTTCGTAACTTGACTGGCTTTGTTTGAAAAACGTTGAATTTGCTTTCATTCGACTCGAAATCAAATTTTCTATCGAATAAAAGGAAATTCAACCTTTTTGCAAAGAAACCCAGTCAAGTTACAGGCGAAATTCGTAGATTGTCAATGGCAAATGGACCGAAAAAGCAGCGGAGTTAACATGACGATAACAAGGCAATGGCAAAAAAGCCGATTTTTTATCATTTTTCAATCATTTTGTTCTAAGCGCTGGTTAATGTTAAAAAATCTGTTTTATATCTCAAGAAATCACCCATTCTCTCTACTTTCATTTGATACCAAAGCGCGCAGAAACAAACGTACTGGTGCTGAGATATGAGCGTTTGTTTGAGTGTAAACTTAGACTACACGACGCTCCTGTAGGCGGCTCTTTTATTCGAATATTTACGGTAATTTTGTTCACACAATCACTCACTTGATTCGTTGATCGGAGAACGATAAGACTCGAGTCAAGGCTGCTTCTTGGGGTGAGAATGCCGAAGAGAGATCTAGAATTTCCAGAGTTTCCAGAGTTTCCAGGAATTTCAGGATTTCCAGAGTTTCCAGGAATTTCCAGTTAATTCCAGTAATTTCCAGAATTTCCAGTAATTTCCAGTTAATTCCAGTAAATTCAACCGGATTCTCAACGTTTAGAGTTAGTTTTTTTGAACAAAATTTGTTATTGAATAGCTCATTGAGAAGTAACTGAGAATAGAGGATTTTTATTTTTTTTGTTAAGTGCTAATGTTTTTTTTTGTCGTTTGAGTGAGTGAAAACTTACAAATCTCGAATTCTTTGTAGAACGCTGAAATCTTATTCGGTTTGTGTATTCAGTCTTGACACCCTGACACCTTTGGTGCACTCAAGTCTTCAGTTTTTCTCACGGAAACAGCAAATGAAGAATTCAGTGCACCGCAAAGGGTGTTTCGAGTGTTTCGAGTGTTTCAAGCACAGAGTACATCCCTAGAGGTGTAGCTTCTGAAAATTTACAAACCTTCTTGCAAAGCTTCCCCTTGTGAAAGCATTTCGAGCGCTATTTCCATTTACATCATGATTGGCCATTCCGGGAAGGGACAATGTCTCCATTTCCTGAATTATATTGATTGATTGTATTGATGATTTGCTTTGATTTGCTTTGAGTAAGCTTTGAGGATTGGATTCAAGATTTCTTACATATTATGGTATACTTTGTGCTAGCGCAAAGTAAAGAACAAGTATACTACTGGACAATGAAAGATCATATTTGAAAAAACACTTTCGCACTTTCACGCGTCTGTAACTCCCTTGTCTTTACCGTATTTCTAAATATTAATATTACCATTGTGTAGCCCTTGAAAAGAGCTTTCAGAAAATGTATAACACTAATAGTTTAAACTCAAAGACAAGGGCGTTAGAGACGCGCGAAAGTGACGATCGTTTTTCAAATATGATATTTCATTGTCCAGATCGTCACTTTCGCGCGTCTGTAACTCCCTTGTCTTTACCGTATTTCTAAATATTAATATTACCATTGTGTAGCCCTTGAAAAGAGCTTTCAGAAAATGTATAACACTAATAGTTTAAACTCAAAGACAAGTGAGTTACAGACGTGCGAAAGTGACGATCGTTTTTCAAATATCATATTTCATTGTCCAGTGCTGTAGCTTTTCTTATCACTTTGTCGTTGTCACTATTGTGTAAATTTCAGGTCGACGTAGCACTAAAAGTCTCAGGCCAAGGTCGGATTGGAGCTGATGGAATGGGCTTTTGGTACACGGCAACTCCAGGCACACTTGGGCCGGTTTTTGGTGCAAACGACTTTTGGACTGGAATGGGTTGGGCAAAATGTGGCAAAATCTTAGATAAACCCTATTTTTTAGGTCTATTCTTTGATTCATTTGACAACGATGGTCAGAAGAATAATTCAATGGTAAGTTTTTGGTCTTTAAATTGGCCCCGCCCCTTTTTCCATTGGCAATCCAACTTTGAACTCAAATTTCGTCCTCCATTTTCATCAAACAATTCTCTACTTAACTCTCTTATCGTCAATTACACTACTGGACAATGAAATATCATATTCGAAAAAAGATCGTCACTTTCGCGCGTCTATAACTCCCTTGTCTTTACCGTATTTCTAAATATTAATATTATCATTGTGTAGCCCTTGAAAAGAGCTTTCAGAAAATGTATAACACTAATAGTTTAAATTCAAAGACAACGGAGTTACAGACGCGCGAAAGTGACGATCATTTTTCAAATTTGTACTGGACAATAATATTTCATTGTCCAGTACTCTAGTTCATTTGTCACCTTGCAATTATTCGCTGAGATCTTTTTCTTCTTCGACATGTTCATCACTTTGCAAAGCCATTCGACGAATGGGCCTCTCGGCTCGCTTCCGAGTGATTCGTCGGCTAGAATTAGATTAGGTGAAATTGAAAGGAATTGAAACGTAAGACCTATTAAGTTGAGTAAAGTAAAGTAGACTACGTTACAAGTCTACTTAGTAAAGTAGACTTGTAACGAAAATATCTGTCGATACTTTTCTCCCGTTGGTTATTGAAGGTTTTTCTCGGCTTCAACCTTTCGATTTTAACTATTTTGACTATCCGATCAGCTCAATTTTGGTATCATTCGATGGAGAACGAAATTTCGAGTCGAATGATACCAAAATCAACTTAAAATATAATATCCACGCAAAGTTGTTGTCTAAAAACCTAAGCCTCGCCCAGGCTTAACCTTTTGCCTCATAACTTTACGTGGATATTATATTTTAAGTTGATTTTGGTATCATTCGACGCGAAATTTTGTCCTCCATCGAATGATACCAAAATTGAGCTGATCGGATAGTCAAAATAGTTAAAATCGAAAGGTTGGAGCCGAGAAAAACACGAAAAACCTTCAATTATCAACGGGAGAAAAGTATCGACAGATGTTTTCATTACAAATTTAGTATTGGGTTGGAAGGTAAGTTCTGCCTCTAAAACAGTATCGCTAAAAGTGTTCAAACGGCCAAATCGCGCCCGAGACACTCAGCATTTTTCGGTTGAAATTTTTCTGTAAACAGTGAAGCGAAATATTGGGTCCTTTCGACTAAACCTTTTCCGAATCATGTCAACTTTCAAAAGCTATCATAATCTACCGTTGTTAGTCGTTGTCAATGGTTGTCAATCGTTGTTAGTCGTTGCTAGTCGTTATCATAATCTGGTCTCTATTTTTATCTAATCTATTAACTTTTGATCTAATTCTGAACCTCTAATTCTTTTGGTTTATTTCTTGAGGGTTTTAAAGAATATCACGTATACAAAAGTAGATATGAAAAGTAGTTTTTGATAAAAACAAAACTACGATAGCTTCTCAAAGTGAGAAAGAAAGCTAAAGCTTGTCTAAAGAAGCTAAAGCTTGTCTAAAGAAGCTAAAGCTTGTCTAAAGAAGCTAAAGCTTGTCTAAAGAAGCTAAAGCTTGTCTAAAGAAGCTAAAGCTTGTCTAAAGAAGCTAGAGCTTGTCTAAAGAAGCTAGAGCTTGTCTAAAGAAGCTAGAGCTTGTCTAAAGAAGCTAGAGCTTGTCTAAAGAAGCTAGAGCTTGTCTAAAGAAGCTAGAGCTTGTCTAAAGAAGCTAGAGCTTGTCTAAAGCTAGAGCTTGTCTAAAGCTAGAGCTTGTCTAAAGCTAGAGCTTGTCTAAAGCTAAAGGACAAGCTTTAAAAGCTAAAGGACAAGCTTTAGCTTCTAAAGGACAAACTTTAGAAGCTAAAGGGCAAGCTTTAGAAGCTTGACAAGCACTTTAGTTGGTTAGTTGTTTAGTTTTTCTTTAAAAAGCATTAGGGTTTTGAATTTTCCAACTCACAAGAACGAGATGATGTCCTTTGCGTGAGGATAGTTGCAAGAGAATTCTCGTTATTCTCCCCGTCAAGTGCTCCATTCAGTGTGCAGATCACATTCCCGTACAGTGCAACCATTAAGCCCAACGGGATAAAAAGAAGTGCCTAAATCGAGAGGAATGATCAGATGCTTTGATTAGATGGTTTGCTTAGATGGTTTGATCAGATGCTTTGATTCAATGCTTTGATTCGATGCTTTGATTAGATGGAATGAGCTTTCCAATCATTTACATCTTATTCTTCAACTTCAAAGTCTTCAACTCGATTTCAACTCACCAATGTGATGTAGAGTTGATAGAAGAACATGACCGTTGTGCTCCGGATTGGGTTACACGTCCAAACACCTCTAAAAGATTCGAAATTGGTATCAAGCTTTCAAGCTAACATTCTATTAGGTGTGTGAAAAAGTAATCCACGTTTTTTATTTTTATCTGATGACCAAATAAGACGCGGTCTTCTCGAAAACCCTCGTTCAACCTCTTCAGAAATAGGCCTTACATTAAATTGTGATGGATCAACCGTAAAGAAACGCTTGAATGCCATGAATTTTATCAAAAAATTGGACAAATGGATACCGCATAAATTGAGCGAAGAAAACAAAACAATGCGCCTTACAATCGCCAATTCTTTGATTAGTAAACATCAACTTGAGCCATTTATTGATCGAATTGTTAGGTGTGATGAAAAATGGGTTGATTACGATAATTCTAGAAGGTCTGGACAGTGGGTGGAACGTGGTAAACCTGCTGGAACAATGCCCAAAAAAAAGCCTCCATCCTTGGTGGACTGCACGTGGTATTATGCACATAGACTATCTACCACGTGGCCAAACGATTAATTCGAATGTCTATTGTGCCGAGATTGATGCAGTCCAACAAAAACTCACTGAGAGACGCGCATCATTAAATAGGAAAGGTGGTAAATAGGAAAGGTGTCCTGTTGCTCCATGATAACGCGCGACCACATGTCTCTTTACAGACTCGACAAAAAAATCCAGAGTGTTGGATGGAAGGTTTTACCACATCCACCTTATAGTCCAGACCTTTCTCCATCTGATTATTATTTATTTTTGTCTCTGTCTAACTTTTTGGCCAATAAACGGTTCAATTCCGAAGAAGATGTCAAAACCGAGGTTGCCTCTAAGGCCTCTGCCTCTTTTCTTCGCCTCTAAGGACCAAGATTTTTATTATCGTGGAATGTCTTTACTTGTAGAACGTTCCCAAAAGGTTGTTCTTTCGAATGGTGATTACTTTGTTGAATAAAAATTATTTTAACGAAACTTATGGTCTTTTAGATTTAAACGTTAAAAACGTGGATTTCTTTTTCACACACCTAATACTATAATATTTTGATTGGTATTTTGATTTATTGGGTTGGGGAGAATGAGTCGGCGCCAAACTTTAAAGGGACTTTTTGCACACATAAAGCCTTCTTTAAACATACGTTTGGTTTCATCAAAAGGATCCACTATTTCTCTACAAAATCACTTTTGAGAGATTCCACAAAGCTTTTCTTTCGTGGAGTTTATGAACTTCCAAACGCAGCTGGTTAAAATGGCAAAGAGTCCGACTCATCATTTGAACAGTTTCTTTCACATAAACCTTCTTTGGTGTTTATATAAAAAAGATAGAGCACATTCAATTACTTAAGGTGCCAAATTTGCAGGAAGATCCCACCAATGGTTTTTTCTAGATCACAGTTTGTAGTTTTTGTGAAAAAATGGCTTTTTCTTGAGCGGAGGCGCTGTTTGAATTTTCTTTTAAATGTGATTTTGTAGAGAATTAGTTAACCATTCTACTCATATCAAACGCATATTATTTGACGAAGTCGAATTCAAGTTTTAGACATTTTTTTGATTTTCGGCGCCGACTCATTCTCCCCAACCCAATAGTTAGTATTAGGTTGATGCAAAAGTCTTTTTCATTTTTTTCGTACTTCTTTTGAAAAATAACAAAGTCATCAATTAACCTATGGTTTGCTCTAAATGAAAAGTGTTTATTGTTGAATTTCCCATCTTTTTAAGTCAATTTGGGTTCACTTTCAAGAAAAATTCGAGAGTGAAAACGGGTTTTTCATAAAAATCTATAAAAACCTCTATAAAGAAATTGGCTGAATCAATTTCTCTGAAAATCTGAAAAAATCTCTAACTTTTTGTGCTCTATCTTTTATTTATTAACATCAAGATTGGTTTCCTTAGCTAAAGCGTCTAAAATGCATCATCGAGCCGTCGCCTTTTTTGACTACCCGACTTCAGGCTCTCAAAAAAATCTAGACATAAGACATTTTAAACTCGTTTTAATGTCATTTTGCAGAAAAATAATTGGCCTTTCGAATGCAATAAACCGTTGTTCAATTGGTGCATTTGTTACTTTTTAACGGAAGTACGAAAAAAATGAAAAAGACTTTTGCATCAACCTAATATTTTGATTCAATTACACTCACTTTTGCACTTCATTTGAGTCAAAGATGAAGAATGAAACGAGATTGCAGAGAAGTGACCACAACCAAACAACACAGAGAAGACCGAGGGCACGTTTCTGGAAAATAACTTTCTTCTACGTACAAGTTGTTCAATATTTATGGAGATCAATGGATTACTAGCTTGTAGAAGTAATAGCTAAAGCTAATAGTAATAGCTAAAGCTTGTCTAAAGCTAAAGCTTGTACAAGTCTAATTCTAAAAAGGAAAACTCTTATTTAATCGCCTAACTTTAACAAATTTAAGTGCATTTTTTCAAAATTAAGGATCTTCGACCCTTTCATTCGATAGAAAATTTGTTTTCAAGTCTAATAAAAGCAAATTCAACGTTTTTCAAACAAATCCGGCTAAGATACGAGCAAAATTCATAGATTGCCAAAGAAACAGATCGAAGAGGTGGAAAAATATTGTCTCTAGACAAAGTTATAGGCCTTCAAAGCGTGTAGTGATTTTCAACGAGTCGTCATGCTTTGAAGGCCTATAACTTTGTCTAGAGACAATATTTTTGTTAACTTTTTATATCATTGTACAGAGGACATTTCAGGCTTTCAAATGATACCAAATAGAGCTTAATTGGATAAGCCAGTCCAAGAAAATCAGAGTCAACTTTGGTCGATGTCGATCCAACTCGGGTGTTGTGTAGCCTTGTTGGCATGGGAATAAAAAAAGCCCATCAAGCCCTATTTGGTATCATTTGAAAGCTTGAAATGTCTTCTGTAAAATGATATAAAAAGTTAACAAAAATATTATCTCTAGACAAAGTTATACGCCTTCAAAGCATGACGGCTCGTTCAAAATACCCGGATTTTTTTTAATACCGGAAACTACGCAAGAGCCGGCTGTTCTAAACAAGTAAAAGGATTTGTAAGTAAGATGAAATCAGGCTTAAACTAGGTTAGACCATGTCAGACCAAAAAAGATCCAGACAGGGTCAGACCAGAACATGACAAAGTTGGCTCAGATCAGATCAGATCAGGTCCAGCCCAGGTTGATCGTGGGCAATTGATTCTAACGATTCTAACGATATAAGACTTGGTTTTTGATCTATTTTAGCGAGTTAATCTTTAATCTTTGTTAAACAAGAGGCCATTTGTCTACAGCTTTATCAAAATATCGTGCTCGGTATTGTTCAGGTGCTCGGTAAAGTATCGTGGTCGATCCAGGGCTAGATCAGGGTTGTATCGGATCAGAGTCAGTCTATAGTCTGGCCCAGAAACAAGGCAGGGTTGGATTGGGTTAAACCAGGTTCAGTGCCAGAGTAGAACCGAGCCCAAGTTTTTTTAAACGGTACAAAGCCAAGGCTAGGTTTAAAGTGTGAGATCAAGTGTAATGTTCTATTTGACTTGAAGTTTTCTAATAAAATATCGTGCTCGGTATTGTTCAGGTGCTCGGTAAAGTATCGTGGTTGATCCAGGGCTAGATCAGGGTTGTATCGGATCAGAGTCATGTCATGGTCTAGTCTATAGTCTGGTCCAGGAACAAGGCAGGATTGGATTGGGTTAAACCACAATCACTTCCTTTTCTTTCTTTCTTTCTTTGCTTTCTTTCTTTCTTTCTTTCTTTCTTTCTTTCTTTCTTTTTCCTTTTCTACCAATCCTCACCTTTGTGTGCCATTTCCGTAAATGTAGCGGTCGACAAATCGCATAATATCGTTCGATGGCGATCACAGTCAATGTGTAAGCAGATGCACAAACAGAAACTGCTAAAAGCGAACAGTTTGATCATTGATTTATAAACAATTGTTGATCAAGTGACCCACTTTTCCGGTTCTACATTGTGCTCGAAATTTGAAAAAGCATTCTTTCTCTTTTTTTTTCTTTACTCTATAACTCTAGAACTCTTTCGATTCACTGACTTGTTGGGAAAAGAAAAATGAGGAACAACTATCCTAGAATGGATGCGTTTACATTTTGAAGCACAAAGTCCAGAGTTCTTTTCACTCACGTTGAAGAAAAGCGACAAGATGACACATCATTGTGCCCAAAGTCCAACAATGAGTCAATTCTGTGAGAAGTGTCGGCAGGATACAAGTCAATGATCTGAAAGCAAGTCAATGATGCTTTTTATTTCGATTTATATCTCTAATTGTTTATTTCCGGGAAATTCCTGAAAAAAATACAATTACGCAAATCGCGAAAGTGCACCCGAAAGTACACCCGAAAGTACACCCGCAAATTCACCTCAACAAATCCGCTACTGCGAGATTGAGGAGATAGAAATTGGTGACTGATCGCGCGGATTTCGTTCGTCGATAGAGAATCGTCACAATGACCACCGTGTTACCGATGAGTGACAAGCAGAAAACACCAGAGAATACGGCACTCAATAAAACGGTGTAAATGGAGAAACGCGGAGTGCAAAGATCGTCCTGTTTTGGCATTTCTGAAACTGCAACGGAAATGGAAAAGTTTTGCGAAAAGCATAAGAACAAGATTTTAACATTTAAAGATCAAAAAGGCGGTTTTCAAATTCAAACTTGGGCATTTCAGCTAGTTTGGCAGGATGTAGAGACTGAAGCAAAAATAAAACCAAATTTGGAGCGAAAATCGATCCCATTGATAAATTAGATTGCTTAGGCTTGGCTTTGGCTTGGCTTTGGCTTGGCTTTGGCTTAGGCTTTGGCTTAGGCTGGGTTGGCTTGGCTTTGGCTTGGCTTAGGCGGCTTGGGCTTGGCTTAGGCTCTTTCCTAAACTATCGTCAATTGTTTTGTAAAATCTATCAATCTAATGTCGCTCCAATTTCGAGGATAGGCTCAAGATCGTTGGGGATGTAACCAATGTTTCTACATGGGACTCCCAGATCCCATTCCTGTCATTCGAGTGAACTATTGGTTCGAGGATTCAAGGTTCAAGTTCGTCACGATTCTCAAGTTCGTTCAACTGTGAGCAACTGGAAATTCGACAGCAAATTTTTGAGGAAGCATTGGACCTGTTTGAATTGGATTGGATCAAGCCATCAGTCCAAAAGGGAACACCTATCTGTCGGGAACTTGTGTCAGATGAAGAGCGATTATGCGTGAAGAGCACCTCGCCATTTGCATAAGGATTTCCCTTTTGTTTTCTAGATTGATAAAAAGATAAAAAGATAAAAAGATCAATACAAAAAGAAGATCTTTAACCGCAAATTTATAGCCAGGGGTTTTCGGGGTAGGCGAATCTATTGGCGGTACTCATTTTATTGAGTCTACCAATTGCAACTCGAGTTTAATTGGCCTAAACCTTTAGAGAAACCCAAAAGCTTGAACAGGAGATTCGCAGCTTTCAAATCTCCTTCAAGTGTTCAAATCAATTGTCGAATAATAGGCATAGGTCGAATAATAAGCAAATAATAAGCGCAGCTTTGATCTATTCGTGAAAATTCACTATATTGTAAGTGAGGTATCATTATTTTAATGTTTGCCTTACTAGTGATAGTGTTCAACTTGACTCAAACTGTGCTACCGGGTTATGGTGATGGTAGATATGCAGTAGAACAGTAGTACGGTACAGTAGCACTAGTTTAAGACTGTAAGTAGGCTTAAGGTGTACCAGGTAAACAAGAAACAAGATAACAATTTGTATGCAAGGTAGAAAGGTTTAAAAAAATGTTTTTTTTTTAAAACCAAAACTAGAGTCGTTGCAAAGATGCAAAATTTCCCCAATAACAACTTTTCCTTTTTTCAAACAGCCCCAATTTCCCCCGGATTCTCAATTAATGATGGAAAGGGAAATTTTGTGAAGAATCAAATTATAGAAAGGAAAATGGTTTAGAATTTTTTCGAAATTTCCTCAGAAACATTCTGGAGAACACTGATGAAGTGAATGAAATGAAAGGAAAGGAAGGAAGGGAAGGAAAGGAAGGAAAGAAGGAAAGAAAGGAAAGAAAGGAAAGAAAGGAAAGAAAGGAAAGAAAGGAAAGAAAGGAAAGAAAGGAAGGAAAGAAAGGAAAGAAAGGAAAGAAAGGAAAGAAAGGAAGGAAAGGAAGGAAAGGAAGGAAAGAAAGGAAAGGAAAGAAGGGAAAGAAAGGAAAGGAAGGAAAGGAAAGGAAAGGAAAGGAAAGGAAAGGAAAGGAAAGAAAGGAAAGTAAAGAAAGTAAAGTAAAGAAAGAAAGTAAAGAAAGAAAGAAAGTAAAGAAAGAAAATAAGGAATGAAAAGAAAAGGAATCCCCTCCTTTTACCCACACAAATTGCAATTCGACAAGTGAGAAATGGTGATGGGAAATTACTCGTTTTCTCCTTGGACATCAACTTCTTTTTTTTTATTTGAAAGAGTTCATTTAACTCCTCTTTGACCCACGCATTTGAATGATTCATTTCCAGATAATTTTAAAAATCCAGATAACTATTTGCGTTTACTTTGCCGGCCTGTTGAACAAAAATTAGTGGAATCTTCCCATCAGAAGTGATTTCGGCAAAGAGCATTACGGATTTATGATACATAAAGTTGCCTGTTAGCAATCTACTCTATATAAAGAGCCATCTCTGTCTGTACGGGCATTTCCTCAGCCGTGTTTTGACCAGAAGCTGACCAGAAGCAGCCCAGAAGCTGACCAGAAGCTGACCAGAAGCTGACCAGAAGCTGACCAGAAGCTGACCAGAAGCTGCCCAGAAGCTGACCAGTAAAGCTTACACTATAGATCTAATATTTGGCTGTTCTATTGTAGAATTTGTTAGTTACTTGATGCTATGCACCTTATGACTACACAGCTGGCCTACGGTAATCTCTATTATGAGCTACAGTAACTGGAGCATGCTTTACGGCTACTCGAGTCTGTTTTTGGAAAAGGTTCTAAGCAAATTGTAATCGAAATGAAACAACTGATGAATTGAGTGTGCCAGGAGTGTGCCAGAAGGAGTGCGTTTAGAGATTTGAGTAAAAAGTCCATTATAAAGAGCTTTATTGTGGAAAATATTAACGGAAATGAAATCATTCAAATGCGTGGGTTAAAGAGTCAAAATGAACTCTTTCAAATAAAAAAGGAGGTCTAGGCTCTAGCTGAAGGAGCTATAGCTCAAAAAATAGAGAACCTCACGAGCTTTTGGTTGAACTAAAGCACACTCAAAAATATCGATTCTAAAGAAAGTTACAGTGGTTTGTAGCCAACTACGCGCGAGTACGGTCCGTTTCGAGTCAAGCAACTGTCACTTTCTTTAGGATTGATATTTTTGGGTGTGCTTTGATCTATTCGAAAGCTCTTGAGATTCTCTATTTTTTGAGCTATAGATCATGTCAATCAGACAGATTTGCAGCAATTTAGAAGCGTTTGTAGTTTACGTTTGTCGTGTCCAGGTCTAGTCAGGGTTACGGTAGTCGGAGTCAGGGTTACGGTAGTTCATAACGAGTATCTCATGTATTAAAGTGTTTTTGAATTTTCTGAGTACAAAGTACAGCACAAAGGAGTCGTTACATATGCAAGATTTGAGGAAAAAGAAGAAATGAATGCACTAGAAAGGGTGCGTTTCCAAATTTTGAGTACAAATAAAGCAAAAGTTAGAAGGAAATCTTTAAAATGAGAAATAAGAATGAATAAGACTTTCAAATTTAAATGTACTTGATGGATTGAAATGGTAAAAACTTGACATTAAAGCTTTCAAATCTCAATGCCGAGAAGCAGCTGACTAACTAGGGAATGCTGTTAACTTGTCGTGGCTTTTTTGACTCTGGAAATACCCTATCTGATGCAGTTTTTCACGCTGTTTCCAAAGCTGCAATCAGTTTTTGCCAAACGCTTCTCTATAGCGAGATATTTGACATACAAGTTTTTGCGGTCTCTTTATGAGGGCGACGCACTGTCTTCAGTCAACGGCCTCGGTGGTGTAGTGGTTAGTGAGCGCGTCTGCCCTTTTGGACGCCAAGGATTCAAATCCTCTGTCTATAGCGAAAAAGAGTAAAAGAAAGGTTGCCTTATATAGACAGAGGGATCGAACAGTTGGCGTCCAAAAGGTCACACACCCGGCAGACGAGCTCACTAACCACTACACCACCGAGGCCGTTGACTGAAGACAGCCTTCATAAAGAGACCGCAAAAAGTCAAATAAAGCCTTGAGCTTGAGCCAAATAAAGAGCCAAATATCTAGCAATAGAGAAACGTTTAGCAAAAACTGATTCCAGATTCGGAATCAGCGTGAAAAACTGCATCAGATAGGCGGTTTCCAGAGTCAAAAAGCCACGATCAGTTAACAGCATTCCCTAGAAAGAAGAGCAAGAAGAAAAACACCTACTTTTCCTTTCTCTTACCACACATTTATTCTCATTTCAACCCACCCACTCGTCTCAAATTATTTGCTTTTATGAAGTAGTAACGAAAGATTTCTCAAGTTCACATTTCGAAAAAGAAAGAGTTCATAAACAAATCGTGACCAAAATCGTTTTAAGATTCGACTACTCAAATATTTTGATTAGAGTGGAGAGCTTAAAATTGGGGTTTAAATTTGGTACTTGAAATTGGATCTTTGAAAATCTACAATGATAAAATTGTGTGAATACCTTGAAGCACACTTTTCGCTTCATTATGGAGTTGGACATCGGTTTTCTTCCGTTTTCAAAAGGGCACCTTTTTAGAAAACTATTGTAGAATCTACTCTATCGGCCAATGAATCAATTGCCTCATAGCTCATTGGTAAAGCAGTCGCATAGAAAGCGGGAGGTCACGGGTTCGAGTCCGCATACATTTTTTTTGAGTCCCAGCCCCAGACAAAGCTCTAACTCCAGAATTGGTTTAATTCTGGAGTTAGAGCTTTGTCTGGGGCTGGGACCACCAATTTGCAACCAATTTGCATCCAAGAAACATTTAATATCCTATATTGCATCTAATCAGCCAATTTTTGGCCTTGGCCTTGGCCAATTGACTATTTTTGGCCTTGGCCTTCGCCAATTGACTATTTTTGGCCTTGGCCTTCGTCAATTGACTAAGCCTTGTCATTCCCAATCGAATGATACCAAAATTGAGCTAACTGAATGTAAACTGTCTCTTGGACGATAGTAGCTTTCTAAAATAGATAGATTAGAGAGAGTGCTGACAAAGGGGAACACACTCACTAACAGACAAGCAGATAAGAAACATTTCACAGATAAACTGAATATCTTTTAAGATCTTTGATCAATACAGTATGCCTAGAAATATTGGATTGGTGAATTGAAAACTGCCGGCTATTGTCATATGTGACAGTTTGAGGACTTTCTTCAAAAGAAACCCATTTTGGTGTCAATGGAAAAGTTGTAGAGAATCAAAAATCAAGCTTATATCCAAATTTTCAGAACGATTCAAAAACTGGTTTTCAAGAAATGCCAAATTTACGAATTTTCGCAAAGCTTGCATTTCAAAAAACATTTTAAGCGAAACTACTAAGTGTATCTTTTTGGAAATTTGGCTATAAGCCTAATTTTTGATTCTCTACAACTT